GAGTTAGTTTTTGCAAGGGCAGCTAGTTAGCTGTTTCGTGTTTTTTTGTGAAGTGCAAGTTTTTGGAGGGTACTTCGTTTTCGATGGCGGTTGCAAAGCGAAGCTGCATTGCTGTCATATGTTTTCCATTCCCATAGTCCGAGTGCTGGTTGGTCCTTCGCTCTAGCATGCTCTAACACAGGCCAGGTATGTATTCACACAAGGCCACGCTCAAAATGAGATTCCCATGGAATCACAAACCCAAGCCGTCAAATCACATTTGGATTCCCTGGCGGCCCCCGATAATGTTTGCCCTCTCTTCAGATGCTGACCACGCAAGGTTTGCATCCTTGATGGTGGAACCCTCGTTCTCCTTCAAGTACTTGCGAACCTCACATCGAACACACATATTCAAAATACAGTTGAATTTGTGCGTGTGACCTATATGTGTGTTACCAAAAAGAAACACAAGCTATATAAGTGTGAAAAGAGAAACGAAGTTCCAACGTGCGTCATGCATCACGGACGGTTTCTTATCAGCATCCTTCTCCTTGGGTGGGGCTGCTTCGGACTTTGCTTCCCCACGAAGCACCTCATTTGAATGTATGTTGGAAAAAATATATTGAGGCCAAAAAACACAACACAACACTACACAAAAACCTTCACAAACAATTCACACAATGCCATAAAGACACACCTTTCGCCGAGTATTTGCTGCGCCATGCCCGGGAATTTACACGTTTGCTCTCTGCACGATCATCAAGGATCTGTTGCTTAGATGCTGGACTCATATCCTCAGTGATGCGCTTTGCCTTCGCCTTCGGTGCACCGGGCGCACGCTCTGCCAGGGGCTCCTAAGTGCCAAAGAAAAAACATACCTATCATGTATATTGAACCACCAAAACTATAAACACACTTGTAAAAAATGTTAGGTTTCATAAGAGCTAGTATCAGGCTCTTGACGGCCTTTGCGTTTGCGAGAGGGAACTTCTGCTGGAACCTGTGGCCGAGTTTGCTCATCCTTTGGTCAGAACCAAATACAACAACAACAACAACAACAACAACACACGTTGTTTAAACGGTCTTGTTTTGAACAACACCCAAGATTTGTGTTTGGCAAAGGTGGAACCTCATCTTTGGTTGTAGCAGGCATTGCCGTCTCTCCTTCACGAAGCCCAGAAGAAGCAGAAACCACGCCGGTATTCTTTGCAGTGTTGTCTTGGTCATTTTGTTCCTCATGGTCAGAAAGTTTGATGTTAATGAGTTTGTACTAAGTAATATTTTATATAAAAAGTGTTTGCGCACCAAAAACTGTTCACACATTGACACACTTCCAAAACATCAGAGTGTCTTCAACACAGTGTTCAGGAGAAGAGATATATCCATCCATAAAGACACAACAACCAGCTGCGGTGGGTTCCTGGCGTCTTCGTTGTGCATTTGCCTCTCGCAATCTGAGAGGGTCAAACACGAACTTGGAAACAACCTTGGCCTCCTTGGTGGGTGTCTCGGGAGGAATCTGCACCTGAGAATCAAAGTCCATTTGGGTGTCCTCACAAAGTGGGTGCAAATCAATCTTCTTGTCGGCGCTGACCTGGTCCTTGTCGTCTAGCAAGTCACTAGCGTCGACATTCAAAGTACCAGGTTGGCTGTCCTCAACCATGTCTTGGGTCATTGAGCTGAGAAGACCATCTCCATCCAGCTCATTGTTCCAATTCTTGTCAAAGAAGGCATAGTCTTGCTTGGCATAGTCGGTCTGACCATCTTCCTGAAACAGGCCCTTGACAACTGAGTCCTTTCGTCGCAAAGGTCGAGCAACTTGGTCTGGAACTGCCTCGGGTTTAGGTTATTGGTTGAAAATTGAAACCAAAGTAGCAAATGATCAAACATAAAATAAAACAGCTTAACTTGAAAAAGTTGAAACCCATGGATTCTTTATTTGAAGACACAAGGCAGGAACAGGGTGAGCACGAAGCATATACTTGTCTAACGCCGAGCTGGGTTGGAAAGAGCATACTGGCATCACCTCATCACCCTTCCGAAGCAACATTGAAGCAGCATCAGGAGCTAGCATTGGCTGTGATTCCGTAGGCAACTCCCCTGCGTGGCTTACAGGTGGACAAACATCATCTGCAAGCACACCTTGCTTCTGCAAATGCTTTCGCATGAGATGCATGTCTCCTGACGTTGATGCCTTTCCGCCGAGATTCGTGGTAGCTTTCGCATCCATGGTTTCTCGAACGCGAGTTGAAACACGATAAACAAGGGGCAAACAAAATGCTCGATAAAATACAATGATATGCATCATTCCTGTCTACACACTACACACCGCCAATCTTGCCAAACACCACATGTGAGCACTTTGATTTGGAATCCGATGGATTGCAGGTGCATCATTTTCTCCCATCAACATCACGTCACCGTCACAGTCTGCCGGATCATCTCAGACGATCTGATAGTGCATGCCAGGTTCCATAAGAAACCCGCCGCCTTTGATGAACCAAAGCGGCTTCGCTGGTCCCAGGACTTTGTCCCGTGCGTAATGTCGCATGCCTTTGTTTCTCCAGGGATTACTTGTTCATCATCACAAACAGTCCCCAGTCCAACCAACAAAGTAAAAGGATATACAATCTTGCATCTAAGTAACGCCACACGAGCGTCAAGTACTGCGATGAGCTGAGCGCCTTGTAGCCGATGAGGCCAGCCAAGTTGGTTTGCTTGGCTGTTTTCAATGCCACTTGCCCTGGTTTGAAAACCGAGTAGGTCTCGTGGATCACGTCGATCCTATCGGCAGATTCGCCACGCTTTACGTCTGGTGGTCTGTCAATCTTGTGTCCTGTCAGCTTCAGGTCCAGCAGACCACGCTTCTCAAGCTAGACAATCAGCGTGAACAGGGATGATGGAGGTCCATCTGAAGCACCTTGCGTCCCCTGCTCCTCAAGGACCACCTTTGGAGCTATGCAAACAAAATTGACCAACGCCAAACCCAAGATAACATTTTGACAACTCCAAACCTTGGACTCTCCGGATTCCAAGCGAAACTCCACAGCTTTGTTCTGGTTCTCAGCCTTGCTAATGTAGTCTTTTGCCTGCCATTGCATCAACCAATCTGAACCACTTTAACTTACAGTAGTTGGCAAGTGTTGAAAACGTTGGAACCTTTGAACACCCTCGCCTTCGAGGAGTCTCCCAACCATGATCCAGCGGAGTAAAGGAAGATTGGGCATGGGTTCGAACTGTCAACGCCAACCAATCGGATCTTGTGTGTTGGCGAGGACACAAAAACCTTTCCATCAACAAACATGCACAAAACGGTTTGTCCAGCCATGTTCAAATTGCAAGTGGCTGCAACGGTTGGGAATTGCTGCTCAAATTTCTCCTTTGACAAAGCCGATGGGGTTGGGCAATCGCTGACCGCAGATGCATGTGTCACCGTCGCTGCTTGCCCTTCGACGCCTAGGTCAATCTCAGCAGCAGCAGCGGGGGTAGGTTCTGTCCTGGCGTCAGCCCTTGGCTTGAAGACGTCATCGAAGTTCTTCAGCCGAACTCTCCAATCAGGATCTTAGCTTGGCTTGGGGGGGTTGATGTGAAAACCTGTAAACTTACCACCCACTAAATGAAGAAATGAGAAAGAATGGAAGTTCAACAACCTGACCAAGAGACTTCGCACAGGGTCCGAGAGCCACTTCTGCCTATCGGCCTCCGCAATCTTTAGATGGCCATCGGAGTCCATGACGCACATCTTCAAGAGTGGAAGCTTCGGGGATGTAAACTCGGCAACATCTGCTTCCTTCATGAACTTCGGTGTCATCAGGCCGACCAGGTTGGCTCCTTGCTTCCATTCCTTCTCAGGGAAAATATAAAACATATCAAAACCATTCCTGGACAGTCAACCTGTGTTTCTCCCAACCCCTGCCTCCAAAAGCTTGTCCTTCACGGTGGTAACAGCGTGCTCAAAAACATTTTGCTGGGAGCACTGGGAGAAAAGTCCCAAGTAGCAGCTCTCACTCAATTCCACCATCATGTCCAGCACGACCTGGCAAGGCAAAGTTTCTTACAACCCTTTGTTGAAGCCTTTCAAACACTTTAAACATTTACCAACTCCTGCCTTCTCGAGATTTCCATCGTAGCACGTGTAGTGATGAATGATACACCCCTGTTGCTTCATGGTTGAGACTCGGCTGAGTGCTGCTTCCAGAATGGCCTTGATGGTGCCTGGCGCCGACACCCACTGCGCCGTTTCTTCTTTGTCCTGAACGTGGTGCACCATGCAGTTTTGTTCAACATTTGGAATGCCCGAGTTTACAAATGTCAAATGACAAATAAAATAGTATATAATGGTGGCAAGCTTCTGTTGGGCTTCGGCCTTGCTCGTGGGTGAACAGCGTACCACTTTCTGGCGTGGAATACTCGCCTGGGCACAGAGAACCAAACAAGGTCCTTCAGCAAGCCTCACAACACCAAGGATGGTTTTACAACATTCAAGAAATATGAAACACTTACCAAAAAAGTGAGTGGCTGGGCTGCATTGGCGTTGACACCTTGCAGGAATGGTACGACCACAGGTCATTCCTGCAGAAAGTATTGGTGTCGGCCAATGGCCTGTCACTCCCACGTGGAGCCTTGAACAGCGTGCCTTGGCGAGAGCCTAATGTTGTATCGAGCACGATCATCCAACCAGGAAGACATTGCGGGAACGTCCTGGAGTTGTCAGGGAATAGTTGAAGTTACATATGCATTCCAGGTGAGGGGATTTGTTTTGAAATCCTTGAGGTTAATTGAACAAACCCAACATGCTCCTGTTCCCGTGCATGCTGCTGACGTCAAATGGAATGCTGCAGGTCTTGCATTCCATTCCGTTGTCCACCAGCTTGTCCTCAATTCTACGCATCTCGCCGCGTAGACCACCAAGCACACCCTCGCTGGCAAGCAAGGGTGCCACTGCGAAGACCATGCCTGCGACTGCAGCTGTTTGGTTATTGCTTGATGATGCGAGATGTGAGTTTCTTTTATTACATGCGTCAAGTTACTGTAGTTCTCGTTCTGATGCAAAATTTGCTTGCACCAATCAACAGCAGCATTGATCTCAACCATTGTCAACCTGCCGAACTTGCTAAAGTCAATGAAGCCCACGTGGTGCATCTTGGTCAATTCCACTGGGGCACTGAAGCGGTTGGTGCCATCGGCTACCATGCGCCGTTGCATGGCTGCCAAGCCCTGACCCTTGTCTCCTACGACCATCAAAGCTCTTTTCTGCGTGAACTGAGTGACGACGTCCAAGCCGATCTCGATTTGGTCTCTCATGTGCAATACCTTGAACTCAAACACCGAACACACAACCCCCACATACAGCAGGGCCAAACCATATGCAAACACACATATATAACTATAATATATATAAATATTGTATTATGTTATATTACATTGTATTATATCATATTCTTTTAGATACCACATTATGAATATTGAATATGTAATATTTATATTTATGTATAATGTGTATCTTTTGAAAAGCTGCTTGTGCCACATGCTTGCTTCCCTCCACCTTGTGCCGCCTAAGGTTGTAGGCCACAGCTTCCCGGTAATCGTGAGCCAGGTTGGCACATGCCATCTTGTACTCTGCAGCCTTCAAGTGCCCCTGTGCAACATGATAAGACATGGTTGATTTGTAAACTGCGTTGTTCGTTTTAAAATTTAACATTTTGAGCATCAATCCTCCGCATCTTCAATTTCCGCTGGAGTGTCCCCGCTGGTGCAAGCTGGAGCGCCTTGTGCCAACGTCCGTCCAATGTAGTCCTGCCACATCGCCAATTTCTCAACTGTGAATCGGGTTGGCTTGCTCAGCAAGATGGCTTCCAGGTCTTGATTGTAGTCCCTAGGGGCACAAACCCAACAGAATAGAGCTATGTATGCACAAGAACAGCAAAGAACTATACAGAAACAAGAAAAAGTACAAAACAAAACACAACACAACAATCTGAATTCTTTCAAGGATCCCGTTCAAAAAGGCGGAGATCATGTTATCGATCATCTCTTCAGTCACCTCGGAGGCTGAGATTTGAATCTTGTTGATGAAAAAGATGGGGGTTCAACATAGTCAAACTTAAGTCAAGAGCCAGCACAAAGACAAAAGGCATAAGCATAAACAAAAAACACTTCATTGAAAATAGGGCACGCGTGGATTCTTCCTTGTCTCATTCAACGCCCACACACACAGGCAAGCCATGTCAACGGCCCGCCCCCACACCTCCTCACCCCAGCGGAGACGTGAGCGCATGCTGCGTTTCACCCTTTTCGAGTTGTTGTTCCACCACTGGTTGTACCTCTTGAAGTGAAGCACTTGCGCCTCCTTGGTCACCTTTGTCAAAAATGTGGACATTGCTCAGCAAAGTAGACACAAATGGCCACCAATCACCAAAAAAGAACTGTTTGAATGTAATTAATGTCAAAGTGTCCGTCAAGCGGTCAATCCACTCAGCAGGAATGCCTTTGGGGCACTCATTCAGCTGATGGCGTTTGCTGCGGAGCAATGACTCATTGTACCCTGAAAGTTTTCAGTGTCTGAACATAAACCCTCTGTTTTGTATTTAAAAAGTCGCTGTTGAGAACAAGAATGAAAGAACCAGAAACATCTTGCCATTTATTCTCAAAGAAACCGGACTCTTCATACTTGTTGAAATCCAAGTGCTGCCGAACAAGGGATCGAGCCTCTGTCGACATTCCTGATATTATGCCAAAAATGGCAGACTGCGCGTCACCGTTTAGCTGCCACCGCTTCAGCGCAGCGTTGGCTTTGAAGGAGTTGTATCGCTGGATCAGCATGGAAAGGATCTCTTCATCTGACTGGTCTTTGCATTCCGCGCGCTGGCGGCGCTGCTGAATCAGTAGTTCAAACCGAGCTGCAAGCTTCATTACCTTGGGTTGAACAGCTTTGAGCTCAAACGCAAACCAATTGGTGTATCCGTGCACTGGGGTTCCCCGTATAACCTTGTTGAGAAAATACAAACAAAAGCAATCCAGTGACATCTTTACGCTGCCGTTCAGCGCCTTGACAGCTGAGCTGTATGTTCTCAAAACTGTGCGTCTCGGTGTCGCCTGTCTTGCTGATCGTGCATGGCAAATTGCACATTCCACCAATCGCCGCAAGCAATGGAAGAATTAGCTCCTGCTGAACAACAAACAGAAAACATTTATTGTGGGGGTTCTTCTTTTGGGTGCCAATGTCCTTCCCAGCAATGGGATCCATGTCGCTGGCAATCATGAGCAACAGCAAGGGCGCTGTCCTCAAACCACAGTTCTGCCAAAACAAACATGAAGGCACTATGCACCAACATACAAACACAAAATGTTGATCTATTTCTTCGAGCTTCAATCTTGTAAATCCCTTCTTCAGAGTAAACGTGTGAGTGCCTTCTGGGGTCTTGGTCAAAGCGACATCTAGAGGCTCTCTGTGGAGCCTGGATCCTGAAAACAAGAATGACAGGCATGTGGTGGTGAAGTCACCAATGCAAGGATATCCATCAGGAGGCGGCTTCAAATCGATTGCGGCAAGGGGAAGGTAAGCAATCATGTTCTCTGAATCCACACCGGACATGTCCTTGATGTCTCCCATCAAAAACATTGTCTAAAACTTGGGCGGCTTGGATAAAGCTAAACATGCACAAAAAAAGTTGTAGTCAAGATGCTGGTACTGTCGCCACCTCAATTTGCGACCATGTACTGTGTGCACTTCTTGCAGGAAATGATGTAGTTTTTCGCACGTTGCACGCGAACCTTCTGCGCTCTTGAAGGCATCCATCACGAAAGAAACTGGGTGCATGTGTGGGCTGCTTGACTCTGAGGGCTCCATGAACTGTGACAGGTAGTCTAAAATCTCCTGAGTGTTTGGTAGTAATTAACCTTCATGGTCATAGTCAACTGCTTTTTTCCTCCAACAAATTAAACACATAAAAACTTTATGTTGCTGTCTCGACACTTTCACCAATGTCACATCTCCTGGGAGCTTTGTCAATCCAGCCTGCCACTCCGACTTGCGTTTCTTCGCAGAAGATTCCTGGTTTGATCAAACATCACATTTCTTTGTTCAACAAAGAGGTCAAAAAGAAACTACATGTCATATAGCGTACATAGTGTCCTACAAATTCTTGCAATATGTGTGGTCAAGACACTGTCACTGTCTCATCTTTGACTTTCACTTTCATCTCTTCTTTCTTTGGTGTCTCGGTCTTCGGGTTCGAAGCAGCTGCATCCACCATTGCCCGCAGCATGGGAGATTCCATACTGGTCAAAAATTGTTTGTCACAATTATATACTGTATATAATATGTCGCTGTACACACAAAAACGTGTTGACGGGAGTCCATCCCTATAAGAATAGAGCCACAAGTTAAAGCTTATTTATTGAAAAGCAACGCTGGGAAGTCCCATGAACATTGTCAAGGGTGGGGATTGGATCCCAGAAAATCGTCGTGGGTGGGGGTTGGATCCCAAAAAATCGTCGTGGGTGGGGTTGGATCCCAGAAAATCGTCGTGGGTGGGGGTTGGATCCCCAAAAGTCGTCGTGGGTGGGGGTTGGATCCCAGAGATTCGTCGTTGCTCGGGTGCCGACCCACAAAGAAAATTTCTAATCATACAGGCGCACGTTTTTGATCAGACCCACAACGACTTTGATCGATGCTAAAATCTATAATTTCGTCGTTGCTCGGGCGCCGACCCGCAAAGAAATTATATAAGCTTAGTAAGCCCACAACGAAAACGCACTTTTGATCAAACCCCGATTTCGGTGTGGGTCTACTAAAGTCTTTATAATTCGTCGTTGTTCGGCGCCCGAACCACAACGAAATTATAGATTTTAGCATCGATCAAAGTCGGCGTGGGTCTGATAGGTTTGGACACGTATAGAGTCATCAAAAGTTTCTCAAAGTCGAGACTTCAGCGTCCTTTGGTCCTATCATTCAGGTGTCAGCACACCTGTGAATTGTGAATTGCACCACACTCACTTCGCTTCTCCGTCGAAGCTTCAACTTCACCGCCTCAGACGGTCATATGTATAGTTGCATGTTTGTGAAATACATACTGCTGTTTACTGGGTTGAAGAGGTCTGTCATCCAAGCGCCATTTTCACCTCAGGTGAACCTGCTGCAACTGCATGTGGGTAAATGGCTCTCCTTTGGAGATGAAAGGATCTGGGTTGGAAGTGGTTGGAAACTAGAATCAACAGAAAAGGAACTTGATCAAAGAAAACACAGTCAACTGTTGTGTGGGAAAGGTGGTGGGCCCATTGCACAAATCAAACCTTCGAGCACTTGCACCTTGCCAGCTCCTTTGAGTCAGGGCAAATGGATTAAAATTATCTATCGTCCACGTCGCCAAATTGCTCTCAATGGCACGCTGGGACAAAGCACCGCGAGAACTGTAGGGTGTGGCTCCATGCGAGCCTGCGGCAGATTTTCAGCAACAGCATGTGCCTCAAGAAAAGGAAGCGGATGAAGTGGATGTCGTTCCAGCTCATTGTTGGCCAATGCTCGAAGATATTGAGCAGCCTTTCTACTTGAGTAGGTCCCTCCCTGAAGCTCCTCAAAGATTGATGCAAGCTCACGCCAGCCATTTGTAACCTTGTCCGCCAAAGGTCTTGGAGGCATCTCACCTGTCACACTGTGTTTCGATGTCCTGTGGTTTACCTAGTGTAGAAAAACTATGGATACAAAACCAAGAATACAAAACATACAGCAAATCAAAAAGAAAGTCACGAGACGTTGTAAGTGGAAAAGTCATCCTGGCTTCAGACGTCAGGGCAAGTAACGGCTGTTGCCTCAGTTCAATGCTAGCTATGTACTCTTTGACCACCACAAAGACGTCATCTGGCAGTTTTGGTCTGTTCTTTTTGGTGCCTTCATCCACGTTGAGCCCAGGTGGCAAATCTATCAGGGGCTGAATTCAAACATGCAATTCAATGTTTCAATACGACAATCATCAGTCGGCCCGTGACCCCTCCCACTGGCCTTTCCTCTGGCAAAATAGAAAGAAATGGTTGGCAGTCTTGTCCAAGAGAAGTCCACCTGCCTTGATTGTACCATGTTTTGTGTTTTGTTTGTAACTATGGTGAAAACCAAGTCGTGACAAAACTGCAAAACCATGTGCCAAACATTTGCTTTCAAAGAGAGCTGCAAAGCTGACTGGGCAAAGTTCATCTGTGTGCGCCTTCCAGTTTCGATAGTTGCGCAAGCAGTGCGCAATTACTTTCGCACCATTGAGGAAGGCTGATAGGCCGGGCTTTTCCAACTCATTTTTGACAATGGAGGCAACGGAGTCCGTGTCCAACATGCTGCTAGTTCTGCCCAGTCTTCTGGAGAGTACTCCCCATAATTGGTCTCACTTGCCATAAAAAGATCAACTGAATCGGAATCAAGTTGTGGCCCCACATTCTTTCACTGTCGGGGATTTGGGCAAAAAACGTTTGAAACACCATACCAAGCAAAGTTGCCAATAATGTCGTGTGTGTGGGACACACGGAGCATGCACAGGCAACTGAACCTGGGTCACACCAGGCTATCAAAAAATGCCCCATCATAGAAGCTGAGTGTTTACATCCCCAACCTGAGGACAGTTTGCAAAACATGCCCAAATCAAACATAGAGATGATCCTTTCTTGAATGCAACGTTGAAAGTCAAAGATACTTCAAGCATACCTGGATGCAGTTAAAGGACTTGAATTTTCTATGCAGGATTAAAGAAGCTGCAAATGTCAGGTTGTATGAGTTCTTGAGCTCCTTTACGGTGTTGTCACCGCACACCACTAGGGTGTCTGGTGCTGGAGCACCTTTTCGCTGGCATTCACTGATAACATCTTCTATGGTGAGGGCCAAAAGTTCTTGAATCATGCTTGATCCAGCAAATGATGACTCCTCCACAATGGCGATGCGCAAAACGTGTCCGAAAGCCCATGCTCCGTGGAGCTTGAGCTTGGGCCGTTGTTGTTTCGCAGCTCTGTGGGCGACCCTCAGGTCTGGGTCCCGTGGTATGTTGTATTTTGCCTCATCACACTAAGGTATGCGCACAGCAGGACAATCATCGTGCCACGACCCAAACCATCAAAAATACAAAATGGCTCCAGAAATTCAACATCAAGTGTCTTGGTCTGCGCCGTCCGTACAGATGGTCAAGCATTTGCTGAATTGATCGCTGGAAACATCCTTCAGCGTCCACACGGAGCACCGGTCGTTGTATTGGGCTATCAGGTGTTGTCTGTACAGCTTTAAGGCGCCCAACCGCTTGGCCATGTCAATCTGTCTGTTAGAGAACCTTGCTGCGCTTTCAAGATTACATACAACTTGACATTTGCAGCGTCACTGATCCTACATAACAAGTTCAAGTCCTTTAACTGCATCCAGGTATGCTTGAAGTATCTTTGACTTTCCACGTTGCATTCAAGAAAGGATCATCACTGTATTTGATGAAACGTATCAAGCTTTAAAGGTAAGGTAAGCAAATAGAAAAGGATAAGGATACAGGGTTTTTGTACCACACACACACTCAGAAAAATGCAACATGTTCTGTGGCAAAGACAGACGGCCTATTGCAAAATGTAAAGAACAGTTATCAATCAATCCAAGAAAAAATGTGATAATGGCTAAGGGTCTACGATATTACCAGTCAAAGCCAGAAAAAGTTCTATGACAAAGAGTGAAGGCTCTGCGATTTTAACTCCTGGCAGATATCGCACTGCGAGAATGTGGTCTTGTCTCTGAACTTGAGAACCGTTGTCCACTTCTCCTTGAACCGGCGCAAAAATGTCAGATACCTCAGTGAATCTTCTTCAGCCAAAATTGGGGCTTTAAAATTAGAGACAATGTGTTCTCATTAATCAGGAAAGGAACGATGCGCACGCTTGCACTTCGTGGGCTCCACACCATTCAGAATAGAACTGATGCAACTCCCACACGTTGCCGGGTGGCATGTACTTTCGCACAAGCGGGGACAGGTCCTTCATGCTCATGTGAACAAATTGTGTAGGTTAAGAAAGTTGCTTTTCCAAAATATATGTTGCCCTTGAGACTACAAGCAGGACATGACACAACATAAACAACATATCACAAAAAATATTATTGAAGACATTAACAGAAAGGTGCTGTAAAAGCTCCAGTCTTGGTCATGTTGAGCAGGAAACTTGTATTGCTTTCAAGGTGATGGAACAGCTTCTCGTCGGTCTCAGTGGCTTCATCGGGATCAGACTGGAATATAATTCCCTCTTCCCATTGATCACTATCTTCAGGAACGTCGTGTTTCCTCTTGTAGAGCTGCTGACGCACAAACCTGATTTGAAGAAATAAAGAACACTGCTGAATGGCAAGGGCTCAAAGGATAAATAAAATACTTTATGGG